CGTCCGAAAACGCAGCAGTCAGCTGGCAAAGTCATGGCGTCAGTTTTTTGGGATACGCATGGCGTGATTTTCATTGACTACCTCGAAAAAGGTAAATCGATCAACAGTGATTATTATATTGACTTGCTGGTGCGTTTGAAGGAGGAAATCGCAAAAAAACGACCGCACATGCAGAGAAAAAAAATCCTTTTTCACCAAGACAATGCACCCTGCCACAAGTCGATGAAAACAATGGCAAAATTGAACGAATTGGGCTTTGATCTGCTTCCCCACCCCCCATACTCGCCAGATTTAGCCCCCAGTGACTACTGGCTCTTTGCTGATCTTAAAAAAGTGCTCCAGGGAAAAAGATTTGGCTCAAATGAGGAGGTCATCGCTGAAACTGAAGCTTATTTTGAAGCGAAAGATAATTTTTTTTATAAACATGGTATTGAAAAATTGGAAAAGCGCTGGAACGATTGTATCACCCTAAAAGGTGATTATGTTGATGAATAAAAAAAAAATTTTGCAAAAAAAATGTTTTCATTGTTAGTCTCGGGACTTATTGATCCATGTGTTATATATTGCACCTATATGTATTATAACAGCAAATAAAATTTAGAACTTATTGAAATACAATTGAAAATGTCACATTACCTAAGTTCATCATCCAAATCATCAAATGAGCTGAATAACCTATTATTTTCTCTCATGGTTGAAGTGTTTTTTTGCATTCTTTTGTGTTGTCAATATTCGGGATTTCAATCTTTGGGCTGCTAACGTTTGTGCTGTCAATATTTGTATGATGTGGGCGACGCTCACTGCCATAGGTGCTCACTGGGTAAAGATAAGAGAGTAGCAATTCTGGCATTTCTGAGGCCAATGGTAATTAGATCCAAGTGCCCACCATTAACAAAAAAAAAAAAACACTCTTTACTTTCTGATTAGGAAAAAAGATAAAAAATTATTTGCTTTCCTCTTTTTTTGAGCTATTTTAGTCCTTCAACTCTTTCTTTTACTCTGTTTTTTAAATTTAAGATGTATAAATATGAAGATGTAGAGTATTACAGCTTTGGTTATACCTATCATTTCAATTAATGTTATTATAATTCATTTTTAAATTTATTGTTGTGTTTTTGTCGGAGAAAATGGTAGTCATGAAAAATTCTTGGAATTAGTCATGGAAAACCATGAAAATTCATGAATTTGAAAATCTAAAATGTTGCAGAATGTAGTTCATTTTTCTTCACAATTTACTTGTGGTATTCGGAATTGTAACTTCTTTCCCTGCTTGAAGGATGGTATTCTGAACTTTAATTTTTTTTCCTCAATTTTCAGGGTGGTGTTTTAAATCTGAGTCGTAAAGAAGTGAATGCAAAGACTGAGGAAGAGAAACTTGTCGACAATGATACTGACGCTCTTGTGGACTCTCTGAAAGCAATCAATGATTAATTACATAAGAAATTATTGAAAATGAAATGTTTTTATCTTTTTAATCTCCGTTGTACCTTTTTTTATTTGTGTGAAACCTAAGTGATTTTTTTTGTATTTAAATGTGGTTTAGAAATAACTCAAGTATTTTTCTACACAAAAAAAAAATGCATGGTGTTAAGTTTCATTATTATACATTTTGATGTATTATCCTAGGATCTCAAGATTTATATTACAATTGTACTCTTTCATGTAACAAATATATTATTCCTTTTATGTAAATTTCAATAATTTACTCGTATGTTTTATTCTTTGTCCCATGTGAATGCTTTCTTGTTTGACCGTTATTTTGTAAATTATATTATCCTTAATATTCCTTGTGTAATGTATATAATTATTTCCATTGAAAGTCAAATTAAATTATTTATTTTTTTTATGGCAAAAATGAAGTATAAATGATTTTATCTTTGTTTTTTTATCCATAATAAATGAAACATACTTATTACAATTTTTAAAAAAATTAAAAAAACTAGATAATATACTGGATGATTCATTACAACAGTTAGACTTGTAAGACAGGTGAGGATACGGATTGCATTGCAATCAGCAATCCAAAATGCCATTGTTCACCTGGAGGGGGGGGTTCTTCCCTTTTATGAGCTGGCACTTTTATTATCTAGAATTTACTATCTAAATTTTAATATAATAAATTCTAATTGCTTTTGTGTCTTCTGGGCAAAGTTGACTCAGTCTTTCATCCCGCAAGTGGTCAGGGTTGTCACTCTACGGGGAGAACAGGCAAAACCTGGGAAATACAGGGAATTTAAAAATCACCTAAAATGCAGGGAATTTTGATTTTTTTTTTTCTTTACAAATTGGGAAAATACCGGGAATTTCGTTTCTTATTTTTTGTCTTTTAAAAAGTGGTGACCACTCAAAGCGTAATCTATTAAATATTTAAAGATGATATTTCAGCTATACTGAACTATTTAATTTACTATAGCATTGTTTAAGTACGTTCAGCTGTTTTTTCCAGCAATTAAAACTAATAAATATAGTTAGCCCAATGTAGTTCACACAAGAGCACAGTAATGTGTTTCCTCTTAATATATTGTGTATAATATGTACAGGGAAAACACGGGGATTTTTTTTTTCCAGATTTGAGTAGCAACACTAGTGGTTCGATAATATGAGTACCAAGCATGCTTGGGGATTAAACACTGGGGGTTCCACTTTCGGTTCACCACCCAACCGGAGCATCTGCNCAATATTTATTGATACATGTAATAATTATGTGTACAATGGTTACACCTATAGAATTTTTACCTTTTACCAAAGTTCAATGTTTTGGACAATTTAAGACAGTTTAACCCAGTTTGGGACAGTTTTACCCAGTTTAGGACAGTTTTACCCAGTTTAAAACAGTAAAACCCACATGTCCTGTCCAAAACCAGTTTAGGACGTCCAAAACCCTAACCCTGATTAAAACTAATAAATATAGTTAGCCCAATCTAGCTCACACAAGAGCACAGTAATTGTTGTTTCCTCTTAATATATTGTGTGTAATATGTACAGGGAAAACACAGGAAATTTTTTTCCTTCTAGATTTGTGTAGCAACCCTAGTGGTTTGATAATATGAGTACCAAGCATGCTTGGGAATTAAACACTGGGGGTTCCACTTTCAGTTCACCACCCAACCGGAGCATCTGCTCCTACAGCCCAAGGTCAAGGAAACAGATGAGCACAGTAGGCCTTAACCCTCTATGGGCTGTCGTGCCACTGAGCTTAGTTTATTTTCTTATACTTTATTTGACACATTTTTATCAGAAAAAAAGTATCTTTCTTCCTTTGGCATATAACTTAAAGAATAAATATCCCTTAACAATCAAAAGCCTTCTTATACGAAACCTTAAGGTTCGCAAAACACTATTTTGGGAACTTGGGTAACTACCTAAAAGCACCATTAAAAAAAGCAGAGAATTCAAACTTATCATCTTAAAAAGATATTAAATTATTAATTCCACTTTTCTTTTCACTCTTTCTGTGAAATATTAGTACCCTTGCATGATCTTTGAATTTATCAGAACATGGGCTATTTATTGAAAATGGCTACTCCAAATCAAATAATTTATTTTAAATGCATGTTTAAGATTTACTGTACTATTTGAAAATTTAATTAAAATTCAAAACAAAGTTACGTTATTATCAATTGCTCTGTAAGTTTTTTATTTCTTATTATAGTATTACTTCGATCACATTATTTTAGCATTTTTTAATTACGATTAAATAGTAAAGGTATAGTGTAGTTATAATTTATAACGGTCATTAAACAGCCGACCCAAATTTTGCGTTCACGGAAGAGTTCATTTCCGCGCGGGAGTAAGAGCCAAACATCTTTGCGCCTGAAATTGAGACAACCCTTAATGTGCGCTAAACGCAAACAATGAATTCTTTTTCAGTCACTTACTTTGCTTTATCATCTGCTATTATACATTTCGTTACTCTAGCTTATTAAATATATCGCAGCAAAAAGGACAAACTGTTTACTCAAAAGAAAGAAATCAAATTTATGAAATATGAAATGTTAAAAAATGCACATTAAGATTGCGAAATAAATATTTTTGCTTTACGATCGCCAATTAACAACCTTCTTCAGGATTGTTCACATCCTTTTCCCAAAAATAGCGAAATAGTATCGTCTGATACCAGAGCCAAGTACCAACTCCTGGTGAACGAACTATAACTAATTCTACTCTATATCCTCGCCCTTTAGTGAGCAGTTTGTCTAAACAAAACTTCATTGAAGTTATTTCTTTATCTAATGTTGTATCTAATTTTTTTTTTTTTTTGATTTTTATAAATTGTAAAGCTTAATAATTAATAACATTCTGACTCTGTACTAGAAAAATATGAAATTCATAAATTTTAGAACACGTTTTTTTCCGAATTTTTTAAAGATTTATAATTTGTAAATTTTAAAAATTAATATATTATTAAAATTTTTTTATATCATTCTGAAATTCAAGTTCTTGAATTATAAAACCACAATTTAAGTACTAACAAAAAATCAATAAATAAATGAATGCAATGAAATAATGAACATATTTGTGAGCAACTTAAGCTGCCCAAAACATTAAATTTCATATAAAGCACAATAAATTGGAAAATTTTAATAATTGCTGAGACAAAGTCTCATTATCGTCTGTTAGCGTTATTAGTTTGTTTTCGTGATTTTCATTAGTGCGTAATGTAAATTCGATTTATTTCATTCGAAAAGTCTTTCATGCTATGATTTTAAGTTACTTTGATATCTGGGTTATGAACAAAAATACAAAAAAGTTCAAAAATAAGAAGAGCATTTCACAATTAGTAAGATAATAAGCTACAAATAAAGGATGATAAAAATGAAAATGCGCTATAAAAATGATTTATCATTAAAAACTACTTTTTATGAGATAATGAACATTTAGCAGGAAACCTATTACCAATAAAAAACAATCTGAAAATCATTTTCGTGGTTATTCTTTGTGAGTAGTAGTAACTCAAAATTTGATAACTTTAATTTAATCTTAATTTAAATAGGTTATTTTTATAGTTTTAATAAATATAATCGTACTTCGATACTTAAATTGCGACTTACTTTGTTTTATGGGTTGGGTTAATAAGTACATCTTTTCGTTATATTCAGAAAGATGATACCCTATCTATTATGGATAATAATAAAAAATAGTTGATTATAAAGAATAATTTCAGTTAGATAATGACGAACATTTAGTTGGAATTCTTCTACCACGAAAAGCATTTTCGCGGTTTCCCTTTGCGTGTAACGCAAAATGTGATTATTTTAATTTAATCTTAATTAAAATAAATTATTCTTATAACTTTCGTAAATATGATTGTACTCCGATACCTAAATTGTAACTTACTTTGTTTTATGTGTTGTTAAAAGTAAGAAAAGCGTTATATTCACAAAGATGACTGGCCATCTATCAAGGAGGATAATAAGAAAAACTATTTTCTATGAGATAATGAGCATTTAGCTGGATTTATCTTACCAATTATTATTTTCGTGGTTTCTCTTACCGTGCAACGCAAAATTTGATTATTTTAATTTAATCTTAATTAAAATAAATTATAACTTTCATAAATATGATTGTACTCCGATACCTAAATTGTAACTTACTTTGTTTTATGTGTTGTTAAAAGTAAGAAAAGCGTTATATTCACAAAGATGACTGGCCATCTATCAAGGAGGATAATAAAAAAGAACTATTTTGTATGAGATAATGAGCATTTAGCTGGATTTATCTTACCAATTATTATTTTCGTGGTTTCTCTTACCGTGCAACGCAAAATTTGATTATTTTAATTTAATCTTAATTAAAATAAATTATAACTTTCATAAATATGATTGTACTCCGATACCTAAATTGTAACTTACTTTGTTTTATGTGTTGTTAAAAGTAAGAAAAGCGTTATATTCACAAAGATGACTGGCCATCTATCAAGGAGGATAATAAAAAAGAACTATTTTGTATGAGATAATGAGCATTTAGCTGGATTTATCTTACCAATTATTATTTTCGTGGTTTCTCTTACCGTGTAACGCAATATTTGATTATTTTAATTTAATCTTAATTAAAATAAATTATAACTTTCATAAATATGATTGTACTCTGATACCTAAATTGTAAATTACTTTGTTTTATGTGTTGTTAAAAGTAAGAAAAGCGTTATATTCACAAAGATGACTGGCCATCTATCAAGGAGGATAATAAAAAAGAACTATTTTGTATGAGATAATGAGCATTTAGCTGGATTTATCTTACCAATTATTATTTTCGTGGTTTCTCTTACCGTG